CTTGAGGAGTTTGCCCCCTCACATATACTAATGTGCCACAAACAGGACTTTAATATCACCAACCATTCCCATGTTATTATGGTGTATCCATATAAATGGCCCATCCTGTAGATTCATGTAGTTGTAAAAAGCATGACAATATATCAAGTAATCCAAAGTATTCAGAATATGTTACTCATATTAAGTAACTTAACAGAATACGTTACAAACTACATTTTGGGCCACACACTCTGTCATCTCTAGTGGAATACATTTAAAAATAGCCTTCACAACACTGGGTATGTTTTGGCTCAACAAATGAAGATCACTTTAAGTACAAACAAAATACGATGCGTGTATCTGAATGACGCTGTTGTGGTCATGCTAGATAAGTGTTGACTTAAATCTTCAAAGATGCCTACAGCAACCCCCCACACCCACCCCGACACACACATCACAGGTCCTTCTTCATGGCAAGAACCATCTAATAACAAAGTCACTGCCCCTGGAAACCAAACTCTGGACTCCAAAGTCAAAATCTCTCATGTAGAGATTAACATGCTTTTATTTTTCTAACCTTTCTACCCAAAATGCCAGAAAGTGAAACTACAGAGCACAGTCTAAAATGAGCAACACCACTGTGCAACCTAAATATGTAGAGGGTAGGAAAAAAAATCAACTGAATGGAAATTATCTTAATGAAAAACATTTAAGACCAATCCAAAGAGGATTTAAACTTTCACCAGAGACAAAATTTTACCAAGGGCTGTTAGGGGCTGGTCATATCTGTATAACTCTTTTTGAACTACCTTATGTTTCACCCTCAGTTTCTACCTCAATTAGCTTACATAGTTTTCTTTTTGCAAAGTTACCATTTTAAATGAAAAAGCTTTCTTCTGCCTAGTAAATTAAACATTACACTGACTCTCTACACCAACCTGTGGTACAAATTGGTGTTACATGAAAATACAGCATGATCTTTATTTAGCAGAATAGTCAAATTTGATGATTTTATTTACATTTAGTTTGAAATTATTTTTAAGGTCACAAATGCAAAATGCAAAATATGTACCTTTAAGTATTTTTATCAATTTGAGATAAGTTATCTAAATGTCAGGGGCCGGACCCCGCCTCCAAACACACCCATTCTGGGTCTTATCTATATATGACGCCTCCAGTTCTACAAGCTGTTTGTTCTTGTTTTCGTGCCCCACCCTCCCTCCCTCTCGTTTTTTCAATTCTTTCACTTCTCATTAGTACATGGGGACTAGTGAATTAATATTTGAGACAGTTTTGGCTTCTTAATTTCCTATAGACACGCCAGAATAGAGTGTGCCCAAACTTTTGAATGGCAGTCACCAACCAGTAAACAAGACTAATAGTTACTTACAAATGTGCCGTTTGTCAGGACAATCTCTGTTTCATTTGTGAGGATGTTGAACTTGATGACATGGCCGTCACTGTTCCTGTAGATGACTTCAGAGTCTGTGTGAACAAAAAGGGAGAACAAAGAAAAAAAACACCTGCATGAATTCTGAAAGCTGTCATAAAAATGTAGAGAAAAACTTTAAACTGAAAGAACAAAGCAAAGCAGCCATTGTGGATTTGTTTAGAGTTGTCAAGATGCCATTAAAAACAACATCTTTTCAGCTTCACTGTTCCCTCAAATTAAAAAACAGTAAAAACGCCGCAGACAGCCAAAAGGGGCCGAGTTTGAGCGACGGTGATGTAATGTGATTAACTGCGAGCATGAAAAGTGAGATTTAACTGTCAGACAAACACAAAGGGAAATGCCCAGATTTTTCATCTCGCAGGTAGCGCGGCATGCTGTGTATTGATGGGAGCAGCATTGTGTGACGCTGCCAGGAAAACATCTTTTTGTACAGAGCAGAATTGGATGGACGTGACTGCATTGTTTGGTTTGTATTAAAGCTAAACACTGAGAAACACAGCCAACCATAAATGTCAAGGAATGTATGCATCCACATTCATAGTATTCATACAAGCAGAGTGAATCCACATTATACTAACAATCCTAATGCTCGGTGTAGTGAAAGACAAAAAAATCTGATGGGGATAAGCAAAATTTTCCTCATTCATGTTATTGATAGTGAAATTATCCATGTAAAGAGCAGATTTCCATCATCACAAACAGCAGCTTCCAAATTAACAGGCACAGGGAGAAAATTCACCAGCAATTAAGTATACTTTTCTTTTTGTTTCACCTGTTCAAATTATGCATCCGGCTTTCAAATGTACTTGTATGAATGCAGCTCCTGTACTATTCTAGCTGCAAATAAAGGCCCCAAATAGTGAGGCTGAAGCAGTGACAAAATGTGGGTTTGACGAGTCGAACAAAAGGACAAATGAATCTCTGGTGTAACAAACAGTGAGGTGAGCAATGCCATAAAAACAGCGGGTGGCAGAGATATGACAAAGAGTATTGAAAGAAGAAAAAAAACCCGACCAGTATAGTTAGCTCTCAGAAACAGCAACAAAGTTAACCTTGAAATTTTTATCTTCTCTGGGAATTCACCCTCAGATTTTTCTTTGGCTAGCTCTGCTGGATAGCTATCAATCCAAAGTGAAATATCTGAACATTTAATGGACACTTGGAACAAACATTTATTGTTCCCAGATAATTAATCCTTTTTTGGCTTTTCATTATGTGCCATTGTCAGGTGAAAACAATTTGTCCCAAACCTTGGCTTCTGGCTAAAATCTGTTTTATATATATCCCGCTTATATATATCTCCAGCATTTTGCCCCAAACGCATCTATCAAAGTGTCGCAGCAGGCTGGAGCTGCAGTCTGTGTGTCATTTGTTTAACTGAGGTATGTCTCTCTTTTTGCTGCATTTGCATTTAGGAGAAGATCATCCAAAGACATGTTAGAAGACATGTTATCAGAAGGTAAATATTAATTTTGCTTGATTCACCATACTGAGATCTTGCAGTATAGGAAAGTTTATCCATGGATTTGCTGTGTTTTAAAAAATAAAATTCTGTTTTTTTTGCCTGTTGTTTTTAATACTCAAGTTTATGACGCCATTTTCATATTTGCTGTTGATATTTATCTATAAAAATTACTATTACTATTAAGTTTGTTTTGATTAGACCTTATGAAACTACTTTATTCTTTCAACTTTTATTTATTTAATCATTTTAATTATTCTTTATTTTGTGTATTTGAGATCTATTTTTAGTTAATTGAAATATTTGTTTATTCTATTTGATAGAATTTTTTGGCTTTATTAAGTTATTTGTTTTTTATTCATTTATTATCTTTTTTATTTTGTTTTTGTTTGCCGGAGGTTTTTTTTTTCCTGTTTTGCTCCCATGTTTTAGGATAAATAATAGATCTTTAGTTACCTTTATATTAAATGATTGCCTTAGTATATCATAACTGTTTTCTAAAGTTATCACTGGGTGGATTATGCAAAACAAACAATGAACAAAAAATGTAAAACATACGTGAACTGCAGAACAAGTAAGAGGAGGTTGTGATGGATAGAGAGTAAGAAAGGGAATAAATATATGGACTTGCTTTGTATTAAAGCAGATGATGATTGATTCACCTAAACATAACCATAACATAATTGAATAACACTCGAACTCTAAAGACAATGGTTGTGAATTAATATATTTCCTTTTATATATTTATATATATATACTTGCAAAAACTGAAAATGTGTTGTTGATAAGCTTGATTAAATACGTTTTAAAGATAGTCTGAGGATTATAAATAAAGTAATAGTAATGGCTTTTCTCAGATGACGTTAACCTGCTAATAAGTAAATAATAATGTTATCATTTCAACCAGATGAGTTTGTGGTAGTTTACTGTACAACAGAATTTTTCAATGCAAAATACAAGCATTAGACATTCATCTCCGTAGCAACAGCACCTCTTGAATCAGGATCTTCAGGGTACTCAAAAACTATTCAAAATATTCAGCTATGTGAGCGAGTGCTCTGAGAAAGAACAGGGCCAAGTTTCCTGCCAGGGAAGTAACATCTTCGGAACAATCAGATACACAAATAAAGGTTGACAATCTTAAAAGTTAAGTATGCAAGAAAAGAGTCACAGAGGTGAACGGCGCTTTAGCTGCAAATTTGAGGAAACGGCAAGAAATGTCAGGTGATAATGTTTTTATAACTGTCAAACCCCTTCAACTGCAATATTTAATATTGGTTGGGCTATACAAATAAAAGTGCATTGAATGAATTGCATAAAAATGACTGGACCTTATTGGATGGAAGCTGTGGCTGATGAATGATGATGAATGAGCCTGTGGTTGAATGAGCTAATGTGAGCTAAAATTTCACTATGCTGCCTGAACAAGCACAATTCTCCATTCAGGTTTCCATCACAAGTTTTTGGCCCTTTTCAGATGTTCTTTCCAGTAATCTGACAGCAATTTAACACAGTTGCGCAATGTCAGAATATTCCACCTTTTCATTTGTTGATAAATGTCACAACAGCAATCTCACCAAGTCACACTTGTAACCCTAAAACCTTTGAAACGGAATACATCTGATTGAAGACGGCGAAATCGATCGGCACACAAAAGATTTTGGTATATTGGTCATGCTGTTCAGTCTCATGTGCTTAGTGTCAAATACAGCACACACTGTGGCTCTTTCCAGAACAGCTTCTGTATGTCTGAATAAAGTTAAAAGAACATTACAATGAATATTTCTTAATAACACGAAACAGCCTCATACCTTAGATGGCATTTGCAGAAAGTGTGTCTTTTCAGATCCAGATGATGGCCATAGTTGTTTTTACATATACAGTAGAATATGGTATTACCTGAAGCAGGCTCATTTCAGTGCAGAGCCACATCAGCTACTGCAATAGTCCTGCTCTTACTGGATTTATATACCAAATTGACAAATTTAAATAGGGTATTTCATTTGGCTATAATAGTTGCACGTCTACAAAATACCTTGCAATCCACCTCAACATCAGCATTTCAAGATGCTACCTGACACAGCTGTGATGCAGTCAGTCTGCCTTGCTACAGGTAAAGTAGATACATTGTGGGTTTAGTCTTCATTAGTAATATTCTCGTGTTTATACAGATTGGCATTTTCCTAGAAGCTGGTGCAAAATGAAGCCTGAGTTGCATCTCTATACACTGCTGAGTTAACCAATTTTGCCATAATGCTGAAAAAACAGTGACACTGTTCGCTCTTAAATTTCCATGTAAAGCTGACTCTAAACATGCAGGGTGTATCATTTACAGAAAATGTACCGTGCTTTGTTTATGTTCATGTCAGTGACAACAGCAAACTTACAACAGCTGTGAACACTGTGCCAAAACTCTGGCTCCAATTTGTAGGTCCCGAGTGCCACCACTCATTCTTTACCCTGTTGTTTATAGATGAGTATATTTTTGATCTTAAAACTTGTGATGTTGCGTTACATTGTTAGACTCACACAAAACGTACATGTATTCAGTGGCGGTCCTATGCCTGTTTGCCACCCTGGGCGAACACTCCCTCTGCGAGCTGGTTATTAGATGCTGCTCCAGCCAGAACAGAGAATCCCCCGCCGCCCAGCCCTCCTCCCTGAGCCGTAATCAGCAGGCGCACCTCGCAAACGGAGGGTGCCCTTACTCCCAGCAAGAGAAAAGTTGATTCTGAAAACGGAGCCTTTCAGCACCGGTGGGAGACTGAATATATGTTTAGAAACATTGCTGGTAAACCCATTTATTATTTGTGGAGCTAATGTGGCTGGGATTTAATTTAAGACGGCACTACGAGTCACAACATAAGCTGAAAAACTGAAATGCAGAAATTACAGAAAGTAGAAGAGCTAAAGAAGAATCTGACATTTCAGCAGACGTTTGTCACCAGAGCAAAATCACAAAGTGAAGCTGTTGTGAAAGCAAGTTTTATTGTAGCAGAGGAGACAGCCAGAACACCGGGCTATTTACCGGGGGAGAGTTTCTGAACAGCTGCATGATGAAGGTGTGCGTCTTGTGTCCAGACAAAACGCAGATTTTGGCAAATGTGAGCTTGAGGAGAAATATGATTGCTGATTGGGTTGGTGAGATGGCCACTGATTTAAAAACACAGTTGTGTGAAAGAAGCAAAAACTTCATTGCATACTCTCTTGCTGTGGATTGAAAGTACAGACATGCTGGACATTGCACAGCTGACCATCTGAATCCATGGAGTGTAAATATTGGACATTAAATCGATGCACGGGACAACGACAGGAAAAGACATTTATGAAAACGTATTTCAAAGTGTAACTGACATGAAACTGCCCTGGGACAACAGATGGAGCGCTGGTGTTGTGCAGGATGTAGGATCTAGTAAAGATGCAAGAGGAGAACTGTACCGTGAGTTAACTGCATATTACTGCATCACACACCAGGAAACGCTGTGTGGTAAAGTCCTAAAAATGGAGCATGTAATGATCACCGTAACGCCGACCGTAAACTTTATCTGAGCTAAAGGTTTAAATCACCGC